TTTTTTTTTTTTTTTTTTTTTTACCTTGTCTATTTTAATTAAGCGAAAATGGTTATCTTTGAAATCATTGTACAAAATATTTTTGTGAATTATTTTTATTTCAGACTGAATTATAGCAAAATTACTTTTTTTTAGTTTTAAATTATTATTATTTGTTTCTATTAATTTATATGGTAAGCCATCATCTGTATAACTAAAGTTTTCCTAAAGATACATTTATATGAATGAATAAAAATATTATATAATTTCATGATTGCACACATAAATAATGGTAAATATGTTATAAAATGAATTAATATACTTAGATATCATTATATAAATATAATATTAAAAAAAAAAAGTTACAAAAATTTAAATTTAAAAAAAAAGAAATAATATCCTTTATTTTAATAATTTTATTATGCAATTAATATAATCAAAAGAGATTATAACATATAATAATATATATATATATATATATATATATATATATTTAATATTATTTTACTTCTTCTATTAAATATTTGGAATATAATTGAAATATAAATTTTGTTTTCATTTGGTTTTCATAATTTAATTTTTCTTCTTTAATAGCTGTTTTACATATTTGATCTATATTTCCGCATACTTTTTCGTAAAATAACTCAACATTTTTATGTAATTCATATACATTTTCTTCTATATTATCTTTAATAATTTTAAAAGTATTTTCACAATATTCTAAAATATATTCATTATATAAAATTTCATCATAATTAAAATATTCCTTCCATAATTCAGAACTACATAAATTTAATTCAAGAGTCTCTTCTATTGCAATATCTATATATTTTTCTTTTTTCTTTTTTATTATTTTATTTAAAAGTTGTATTAACTTTATGCATGTTCTACATGAAGAAAATGTATTATGAGCTTGATTAATTTTTTCATATACCTCCTTTTTTATTGTTGACGTATTTCTATAAAAAATTCCTAATTTTACTAAATCAGAAATATAATCGTTTTCTACATTTATAGAACTAATTTTATTATAGCATATTATAAAAAAGTAAAAAAGAAAGACGCTATAAGATAAATTATTTTTCATATTTCACTTTATTAATAATAAAATTTTCATAAATATTTCATTTTCTTTTATCTTTTAAAAAATTGTACTATTTTTTTTTAATATTTTTTTCATTATATTTTATTTTTTTTAAATTTACATATTAATGAAATAATTTATGTCTTTTTTTTTTTTTTTTTTCTAAAGGAGTATAGAAAATTATTTTACAGAATTTCAAAATAAAGAATATATTTAAAGATATGTGATTTTCATAAAAAAATATTATTAAAAAAAAAATTTATATATGAGCTTAGTATATGATATTATATAATTACCTTTTTTTAATTCATATACATATATATATATAAAAAAAAAAAAAAAAAAAAAAACATTCCGGTATTGTTAAGTTCTAACATTTTTAATTTTCGACGTTATATTTTAAAAAAAAAAGATTCACATTATTAGAACAGCTGAAACAACAATTATAACAAAACATATAATTTTAAATATTTCTTAAAGTATCCATTTTTTTTTTTTTTTCTTAAAAAATTCCTTTTCTTTTAGATTTTATAAAAGATTTAAAAAAAAAAAAATTCTTCTTTATTTTATGATTCAAACTATTTTTTAAAATTATTTTTTTCAAACTAATTAAAATGGTTTATTTATATTTTATAAATTTTACTCATATATGAATTAAAAATTTAGATATATATATTTAAATAAATAGAATATTAAACAAAATAAATTTAAAAAAAAAAAAAAAAAAAAAAAAAA